CACAGAGTACTATTCAGCTATAAGAAACAATGGTGATATAGCACCTCTTGTATTTTCCTGGATAGAGCTGGAACCCATTCTACTAAGTGAAGTATCTCAAGAATGGAAAACAAGCACCACATGTACTCACCAGCAAATTGGTATTAACAGATCAACTCCTAAGTGGACGTATAGGAATAACGTTTATCGGGTGTCAGGCAGGTGGGAGGGGGGAGGAGGGGATGGGTATATACAAACATAATGAGTGAGATGTGCCATGTTTGGGGGATGGTCACACTTGAAGCTCTGACTCGAGGGAAGAGGGGGGACATGGACAATATATGTAACCTTAACATTTGTACCCCCATAATATGCTGAAATAAAAAAATTTTGAGTATAAAAGAAACTTTTGAGAAAAAAAAACTTGGGGGGGACCACCGAGTTGTTCTTCGGATTTTGTTGGCTGGCCCTTTTGGGCCCCTTGTGGGATTAAGGGTTGTTTTTTTGCCCTTTTTTTTGCGCTTGGTTTTTTTCCTTGTTCGTTGGTTTTTCCCCTTTGTTTTTCCACTTTGTTTTTTCTTGGCCGGACCCCACCAGGCTTTTTTTACCGGTTTTATTTTTTGGTTGGTTTTCTTAGGTTTTTCTTCCTTTTGGCTTTTTTTCCCTTCTTCTTTTATTTTTTTTTGGGGTAAAAAACATAGTAATTTTCCAAAAAACATGGTTTAAGTGTTCACCATATTCAGGTATGCAATAAATGAAAAATAAGTCATATCGGGAAGAAAGATTTTTTGTGTCCTCTTGACCACATTCTTAGATTTTGGTGTAAATGTCTTTAGTGGGTGCAAAGTGACCCCTTTGTCATTGGAAACAGACAGGAGCATTCTGTGTGCTGTTGTCTACGACCACACAGGTGTGTTTCACAAGGAAACTCATCTCGTCCTCATGCCATCTGTAAGAGACAGTGTTTGAGAAAAGAAGACATGGTTCTCCTCCTGAAGAAGCTTACATCCCAGGAGCTCACCCCTTTGAGGAATTTCCAGCCCCCAGACACACTATAAGATTAGGTCCACAAAAGCCCATAAGGCAAGAAGTCCAGAAGAGAAAGAAATCATTACCACCATGGAAAAAAATCTCAACTTGCTTTATTGGAAAAGGCTTTCAAAGTCCAATTTCTACCCTCCAGCTTCTTTCATTAGTGCTTATTGACCAGTATTGGGAGGACCAAGCCAAGAGCAAAGCTAGGGTGGAAAGGCCATAAGGTAATTGCAAGGGATAGAGCTGAAGAAACACGTGCGTTTTCCCAGTGCGCCCTCAGAGGCTGCTTCTCTTACTTGGTTCTTGGGCTCTTTCAAGAGAGACCTGGGTGCGTTTATAATGCCCTCAGCTTCTGGGTGGCTCAGGCCACCTAGTCCATCCAGAAGGCCTGGATCCAAGGATGGATCCAGAAACCAGGCAATGGAGAGTTAAAACAGGGCTAACTGTCCACTGTCCGGGCCTGGGCAAGTGAGGGGCAGGTGCATTGTCCGCCAGCTGTGCCCCTGGAGCCCGGAGCTGGGAGGACAGGGGAGGAGAAGCCAGGTCCTCTCCACTCACAGGACACTTCCGTCCGAACTTTGCTAGGCACTACTCACCTTTGAGGGATAAATGCAATACGTGGAAGGCATAGGAGGCAGATAGGGGAGACATTCTTGAAAATGCCAAAGTAGAGCTTAAGCGCTCCCAAGGCAAGAGGGCCCAGCCACTGTTTGGGGGTTCCTGGGGGGCCAGGGGAGGAGCAGGCGGGGCCTCAGTGATGAGGGGAGAAGCTTGTAAACATCTGCCTTCCTAAAACCACTCTCCTTGCATCTCCTGAGAAGCACCCAGCTGTTGTTTATCCTCCTCCGCGGGCAGCAAATCCGGTTATTTATCTCCCTATTCCGTGATGTTACAAAGTAAAGAATGGTCCATTAAACTAAGTTTGGGCGTCTGTCTCCCCACAGCCGCCTCCTGGCTGGCACCCTCCTCCGGGGAGGCCGTGGGCGTGGGCTGCAGCCTCCCCGCGTCCGTCCCCTCCCTCCGCCTCCTCCCCTCTTCCCTTCTTCTCCCGCTCCCCTCCCCCCCCCTTATTTGGGAGATTAGAGTTCATTAATTAAATCCTGTGCTTAGATCGAACTGTAACATTATTCCAATCACATTTATCTTGCGGGCGGCGGCGGAGATGGCAGCCTCGCTGGAAACGCGCGGGGGAGCCTGAGGCGGCCGCCGGAGACGCACGACACGGCGCGCTCCCTCGCCAGCCACGCCGCGCACAGCCCCTCCATCTTCCTGCTCAGCCTCCTGCCCCGCGCGCCCCTGCCTCGGGGGTCCCCTGCCAGGCTCCTGCCCGCCCCCACCGCAGCCCTCCGCGGCTGCCCTGCCCGGGTCCCCTCCTCCGCCACACACGCTCACGCGCGCGCGAACACACTCACGCGCCAGCGAGCTGCTGGCCGCTCGATGGATCGATTTCCCCGCGCTCCCTGATCCCAGCCCAGCCCGGGATGAGAAATTGCAAAATGGCCCGGGTCGCCAGTGTGCTGGGGCTGGTCATGCTCAGCGTCGCCCTGCTGATTTTATCGCTCATCAGCTACGTGTCCCTGAAAAAGGAGAACATCTTCACCACTCCCAAGTACGCCAGCCCGGGGGCGCCCCGAATGTACATGTTCCACGCGGGATTCCGGTGAGTGCGGGCCTCCGAGCGCCCTCGGGAATCTGGTTTATGGTGTGTTTGGGGAGGGGGCGGGGGGTGTTTTGGCTTCTCCGAGACACTTAGGGCGAGATCACTGCGTGGTCCTTCCACCTCTCTCTCTGCCTCTCCCTTCCTCCTCCCCTTTAATTTTTAACCCAAAGCCCATACCAGCCGTTATCCTAATCGATGTGATTGCATTGCTCGTTTTCTTCCTCGGCATCCCTTCCCCCATGTCAAAAATGGGGGTGGGGGGTTAGGAGGAGGATGGTGGAGGGAAGGGCAGCGTGTGCATTGGGGAGGGGGCGGCGACCCGAGAGGTGGACAGGCGCGAGGCGGGCGCCCTCCCCCTGCCCTGTCCGCAGACCGCGGGCCGGGCTCGGTGCGGGGCAGTTTAATGGCGGAGGCGCCGGGCTCCCCTCGCACCCGCCTCCTCTCCGCCCCCACCCTCCATCAAACGATGCGCGGGTTTCTTCGCATGAAGCCCTTAGGGCGTTCTCCCTGGACCCTTTCCCCCGCCGCCCTCCCCTTTCCGGGATTTCTGCAATTCCCCCGCCCCCTGCGGGAAGCGAGCCTCCTAGGGGCCGCCTCCCCTCGCCCAGGTCGAAGTCACCGCGGGGCGCAGCTCTGCACAGCTCGGCACGGCTCTCCCAGAGCCCCCGCCCTACCTGCGACCCGGGGAGCTCTCCCAGCGGGGCCTCCTGATGGGCAGGTGGCAACTACAAACTGCAACCTGTGGTCCGAGCCGGGCCGGGGCTGTGGGACCTAGAGAAGCCCCGGCAGGGCGGAGGAGGGGAGCTGGCCGGGGGTCCCCAGGAACAGGCAGGGAGCGAAGTCGGGCTTAGGCTTGGGAAGGAAGAGGTTAAGGCAGGAGCCACCGCCAGCCTTCCCCTGGGTCGCCGGCTTCCTCAGCCCTTTCTCCAAAAATCAATTCTCTGGGCGGCGCGGCCGCTGTCCGCGGTGCTGACTCGGGCCCTCCGCGCGGCAGCTCGGCGCGGCTCCCACCCTGCTCGCCGCAGGACGGCCATTTTATGGTCTCTCCCGCACCCGGAGGGCCGGACAATGGAGACGGGCTTCCCTGTTTTCCTTCTTTCTCCCGGGTGTGTGTGGGGGCCGAGGGCGGATCAAAGGAGAAGGGGCTGCGGGACGCACGGAGCCCGCGCGTCAGCCGCCCCCCGGCCCGGCTGGGCTTTAATGGCTACCTCGGCTCCCGGGCTGAGGCCGGCACGTTTGTCTGTACCCATGCTCCTCTCCAGGTCACAGTTTGCGCTGAAGTTTCTAGACCCGTCCTTTGTGCCCATTACGAATTCTCTCACCCAGGAACTCCAAGAGAAACCTTCTAAGTGGACATTTAATCGGACAGCGTTTTTGCATCAAAGGTAGGATAGGAGGAAGAGGTCCAAAAGGTGCTTTCGAATTCTGGAGCTCAAACAAAACAAAACAAAACACAAAAAAAACTCCCAACAACAAAAATCTGTACTCCCTACCCTCACCACCAGGTGTATTTGCATTGTTTTCTTGACTTGACTGCACAAAGCAAAGATCAGTAACCCTCTCATATGTATGTAGTGCCCTCTCCTAAGAAGGAAACATCAAGAAGACCAATTTGAATAGGAGAGAAAAGATATTTTCAATACCCTCCCTAACTTGGACTTGATTGAGCACCATGATTTACAATTAACAAGTCTGGCTCATACTACCAAAGCCATCCATTTAAAAAAAAAAAAAGCTATTTGCAAAAAGACCACCCACAGCATTTTCATTCCCCCCGCTGAAAAAATTTGAAAAATAAAATAAAATGGTGTTGTTTCACTGAAACACAAAAAAATTACCATAATCCATCTCAATCAAATGTTGACCCAAATACATGTAAGTGTTGAAGTATGATTTTGTTTTGGTTTGGCCTGTTTGTTTTCATTCAGCCTTTACAGCTTTTAACTTACTGCAAAGCTATGTAACTCCATTCTCACTAGTTGTCACAGCTTTATTTTATACATGAAGGAGGGTATTTTTGTTTTGTTTTGTTTTTTGAAGGGGGGAAGAAGAAGAAGATTTGTTCAGATTGATTTATTCTACTCAGTTATTCTGGTCTACTCTTAGCAAACCCAGTTAAATCATTACTCCTTCCTTCCTAGTGGGATTATTATGCTGCTAAATGGGATGTGAGCCATCTAGTGTATTCATTAGAGGTGTGAATACTTATTTTACAAACTACTCTATTTAGGGAGTTGTGCTTTGGTCATAGCATTTTTAGTTATTGCTCTCTCTCTCTCTTTTAATTTTAATCTACTGGTAGAACTAAAACAAATTCGGTGGGTATCCATGGTATTGAGAAAATATTATTTACTTGAAAAGTTGACATCCAGTCATATGATTATGATTAAAGTTTTTAAAACACTTATGTTTAATTAGAAATTAGTTTATGAAAATTGATCTGTTCTGAAACCCTAGAAGTACTTTTTAAAATCCTGGTAGGGATTTTAATTCAACATTAATTTTATAAACAACTCAGATTTTCATGGGTAGAACATCTTGTATCTTTCCCCAAAACATGTTTACAACTCAGTAAAAATATTCTTCCCACACTAGACCATGTGACCCAAATGACTAGTCAGAAGAATATTTCCTCCTCAAAACTCCTCTCATTTCAATCCATTCATTAGGTAATCTTTAATTAATTTTTACCAGTATCGTTTTAAATTTGCCTTACATTTTTAACAGCTTGTTAGAACAATGCTGGTAACTTTGGAAGTTTTGGATTGAAGATTTCAGTTTATATTCCTCTGTACTTTGAAGAATGGAGTAGTTTTTTTAAAATAAAATTCCAAGCAAAGTTATGATCTGCAAAGCCTTTCATTTCCTTCCTTCTGTTTTTTAGGCAAAAGAAACAAGAGATTCAATGTGATTGCTTAGCACTGGAGAGTCTAGCAGCAAAGTAGCATGTTACTGGTCTCTCTTGAATATTTTAAATAGCTGAGACTTTAAGAGGAGACACTTAATTGTACTTAAAGCTCAATATGAAAGCAACCTGAAATTAATTCCAAGTGTCACTCTTGCTTTGTTTATGCTCTGAATTGTTAGAATATATATCCATTTTCAGGATTTACAGTAGCCTCATTTTCCAAGGACTAGATTTCTTCAACTAAATTGTGTTTCCATAAAATCAAGTAGAAAAATACCCTTGTTCCATTATTTAAAGGACCTTAATGAGATTATCATCTCATTTCTATTAAATATTCAACTACACCCGCTGCTATTACCATCTTCATATTTTAATAATAGATGGTGCTGTACTGACTCATATCTATTTGGTTCTTATTTGGACACGAGTGATATTTGATATTCTTTGAACACTGCAGTCCAATAGCACAGTAGACCTTAGTTACAAACTCTAAGTCACTAATGTTTGTGCATGAATGTGAGCTCTTTCAATTGTGTAAATTGTAAACTGTGTCTGATACAATTTGGCCTATACCTCCTACCTGATCAAATATACTCTTCACTTAGAGCAGAAAACCAAGGAATGGCAGCTAAAACTGTAAGTTGCGCTTACAAGCCTCAAAGGATTACATTCAGAACTGGACTGAAAGATTAAAACATGTCTGCAGATTCTGAAGCAATCCTCTCTTCAAAGACCACAATTATGAATGTGTAATTTTTCTTGGATTCAGTGTGCCTGAGATTTTTGTCTGAATGAAATGGCAGCATAAGACATAAGATGGAAAATCAATTATTTTGAATGCATTTAATGAATTTCTTTTTATTTTAGGCAAGAAATTCTTCAGCATGTCGATGTAATAAAAAATTTTTCTTTGACCAAGAATAGTGTTCGGATTGGACAACTGATGCACTATGATTATTCCAGCCATAAATATGTTTTCTCTATTAGCAATAACTTCCGATCACTCCTTCCAGATGTGTCACCCATTGTGAATAAGCATTATAATATTTGTGCTGTGGTTGGAAATAGTGGGATCCTGACAGGGAGCCAGTGTGGACAAGAAATAGATAAATCAGATTTTGTTTTCCGTTGCAATTTCGCCCCTACGGAGGCTTTCCAAAGAGATGTTGGAAGGAAAACCAACCTTACCACCTTCAACCCCAGCATCCTGGAAAAATATTACAACAATCTTTTGACCATTCAGGACCGTAACAACTTTTTCCTCAGTTTAAAAAAGCTTGATGGGGCCATTCTTTGGATCCCTGCATTTTTCTTCCACACTTCAGCAACTGTTACCAGAACATTAGTTGACTTTTTTGTTGAACACAGAGGTCAGTTAAAGGTCCAATTGGCTTGGCCTGGAAATATAATGCAACATGTCAACAGGTGTGTATATTTTATTGCATTTTACTTATACCCCACCAGATGGCAAATCAATATTGTAATCTCTTGGGGGAGGGAGCCATCCAATTAGGTACTTGTGGTTAGTTTAGTACTTTTGGGCAAACTTTTACCTTTTGTAATGAATGAATGAATCATTCTAGGTAAGAAGTTCAGTCTACCCTCAGCTGGTAACCAAGTGCCAAATGGAGGGGTTGGTGTTTCATCAGTCTCCCTTCTCTATTGCCCATCCCCTGGGTAGTAAGCCTAACCAAGCAGTCATGGAAATCACCGCAAATCAAGAATTTTCTTTAAATGGATAGCTGTTTTCCAATACTGCCAGCAATTAAATTAAACAAGTCAAGTGTTTTGTTTTTAAAAAAGAAGATGCAATTGGCTTAAATTTTTCTCTTTTACTTGATATTTAGGTGTTTCGTAGATATCCAAGATTAGCAAACCATCTAGATAGATAAGTAATAAGTTGTACAACCTGCCTTTATAATTCAAATGCAAAAACATAGGAAAAGTGTTTTATGAAAGCTTATTGTTATCCCTTGTAATTTGATAGACAGATTGACCAGAGATGCAATATTTTAGTCTAGGCTGGTGAATTTCAACCCTGGCTGTACTTTAGAACCACTTGGAGAGCTTTAAAAAATACTTTTGCCTAGACTCTACCTCAGGAGAGCCTAATGCAATTTTTCTGGTGGCGAGGGAAGTGGGAACCAGGTACTCAGTATTTTTTAATAACTCCCCAGATCATTCCAGTATGCAGGCAGAATTGAGAGCCACTAATCCAGAGTATTTTATAAAGCAAGATTAATTGTAAGATATTTTTTTCCTTTAAATCATTTGAGAAAAATTGCTTCAACTCCAGATTCCCCTGTGTAAATAGCCCCAGTGTCTTAATGTAGCCACAGATATTATCATGAGTTGGAGTGGGTTCTGGGAGATCTGGTAAATAGGGAATGCTAAAGATTTTTATTCCATAATAGATTATTCCCATCCTGTAGTTTCCTAAAGTCCTCCAAATTTAAGATCTGTGTACTGATGTCACATAGGAGGAGGAATTGTAGTCTAATGCACGGTATGTATCTCAGTGGTGGGGTAATACCATAATTGACAGTCCAGACTGGAACTTTTTCTTTGAGAGAAAGGAAGTGATAGGAATAATTGCAGCAGGAATAACAGACATCAACTGGGGCTGTCCTAGTTTTCCAGGAGGCATGGTCACCCTTTATAGAAGTAAGATAGCCCAACTCCTAAGTTTAAAGCAGCAAGAATTTATTTACCCAAAGTCATTGCCCAGAATGGGCAGACCCAGAATTAGAAGGCAGACCTTCTGCCAGCCAGTCCACTGGTCTTTTGACTTCATCATTTTGCTCCCCTTTTGCTCAATTTAAGTTCAGCTGTGCCAAAAGGACGGTCAGAGTCATTCTAACTCCTTAGGTAAGAACAAATAAAACCAAGGCTGAACTTTTCAATTTCATCTGGAAAGGGAAAGGTTCACCTTTGAAGCCTTCAAGTAGTGAAAAAGGAACTGTATGTGCCTAGAAACTTCTGGAAACTGGCCTGCGTGGACTACCTGCCACCAAAGGCCTGTGGAGTTCACCATAATGTTTCACAGCCACTCAGGCTTGAACCAAATACATTGGTTCAGTGAAAACTGGAAGGAAATACAGTCCATAGAAACCTGATTTCATGAATAGTTTAGTTCTGTCCACACACAATGATAAATACACCTTCCCCCCACCCCCCATAGAAGTTCAAATATTTGACAGTGTGGGTAGGAAGGCTTCAGAATACTTTCTAAATACGAAAGGAATAATAACCATAATTTAGCTTCTTTTTTTTAAAATTCAGAAAATGTGTAAATACATTTCTTAGGTCCTGGCATGACGAAGACAGGCTTGGGAACCTCTCGTTAGAAGACGGGGAAGAGCAGGGAATATAATTTTTTACAAGAGGGTGGTGAAAACTAAGGCCCTGCAGTCTTTCCAAACCCAGAAAGAAGAATTTATTTCTAGGTTTGGGAAAGGAAGTAACAGAGGAGGTCTCCTTAGGTTAAACAGCCTCCTCCACCATATCCAGGGCCCTTTCTGTAGGAGAAGCAGTGTCACTCTCATCAGTGGCCAACTGTTGTGCCACCATTGAGGCAGAGCCACCACCCTTTTAGGAAGACCCAGAGGCAGGGCCAGGTTCCAAGGTGTGACTGCAAGAGATCCCATGCTCAGAAGGGCCCAACGCTTGGTTTAGTACTTTACTCTCACACTATTGAAATTTTCAATAATGTTTGAACAAAGAGTCCATATTTTTATTTTGCACTGGGTCTCACAAATCATGTAGCCAAGTCATGCCCAGAGGATTTTTGTTCTTTGTGGTCTAAAAGATAAATTCAAAGCAAGCATTAAGTTACCATGGACAGATCCACCTCCCCAGCCAGTCATATTGACCCAGCTGATTGAAACCTTCAACACTGACCGCTGAATCCACGTGTACTTATTGTTCTACAGGTACTGGAAAAACAAACATTTGTCACCCAAACGACTGAGCACAGGTATTCTTATGTACACCCTTGCGTCAGCTATATGTGAAGAGATCCACTTGTATGGATTTTGGCCTTTTGGATTTGACCCCAACACAAGGGAAGATCTGCCATACCACTACTATGACAAAAAAGGAACCAAATTTACCACCAAGTGGCAGGAGTCCCACCAGCTGCCTGCCGAGTTTCAGCTGCTGTACCGAATGCACGGGGAAGGGCTCACCAAGCTGACTCTGTCACACTGTGCCTAAGAACTCCGAACGGAAAGTGCCAAATGGCTGTTTAAAAAGTGCCCCAGATCAAATTGAATAGTCTTCAGAATAGAACCCTAGAGAATGTCTTATAAGGATTGTCTGCCATTTAAAAGGAAAGATGTCTTTTCTCTCTTTTGCACTGCTCTTTTAAGAGTTTTAGCAGATTTTTAGCAAGACAGATGCGTTGAAGGATTGAAACTTGATTGATAAAGGGAATGTTGCATTTGGGATTATGCTGCTAACGAAATGGTTTGAAGTATTTTCATGTTTGTATTTTGATAATAAACTGCCTCCCATTTTTATGAGGACTAGAGCTATAGTTTCTGCAGCTCTGCTCAGACGCAGTCCTTGTAATCCGAGGCCTGTGGCCAGTTGGGGCAGGATCTCAGTTTTGCCAGTGGGATCAGAATCTTCAAAATGGAAACATAAAAAAACTGGTTTGCATAGCTCATCTTTCTATCTCTCTATCTCTTATCATCTCTCTCCCTCTTCCTGCACCCATTCCCTGCCCTATTACCGTGGAGTTTAATAATTTGCTAGGAATCCTATTGAATTAGCTTGCTTGTATGTATTGCATTTGTAATTGATGTGTTTAAGGCTCTGGGTAACTTTGATGTTTCACGAGCAACCGAGCAAATCATGATGGGTCCTCCCATGATTACTTTTGTAAGAAACGCCTTGTAGGAAGCCCTCCCTCGTCCACAGCCATTCTCCAGCAGGGCAGTCCCTCTGTGGTGAGAGGCATATAATGCAGTGCATTTTTCATGATCACAAAGAAAGCCCAGGTCATGAGTGGTCATTGCACGTCTCCCACCACCCCAACCGAAGCACTGGGCTTAGCATTTTCTCAGCATATAGAGGCAGGTGTTAGCTTAAGATTCTGGGGCACATATAGGTCAGAGAAGAAGGGTGTTTAGAAGTTGTCATGGAATCCTGTATACCCTGAAGTGTTGTAACCATGTTACCCATTCAGAGCCTCTGAGAACCAGCAGGGTTAGAGTGGAGGAGAAGCTTCGAGGCTGGCCAGCCCAGGCCCCCCATGTGAACAGGGCTGAGGTGGGGTCATTGGGCCACCACGGCCAATCCACAACCATTTGCTCTCTTCAAGACAAGTGTAGACACTGGATATTCCCGCTTTCCACTGAAGTCAGACCTATATGCCTACAGACTAAGCATTTCAAAAGGAAAAAGTCATTGTGCAGTGGCAAGATTTGCTACTAAATAGCCCTTGGAATGTGAGATTATGTAGACCTTCCATGAGGAAATGAGTTGCCCATTCTCTTTTTCATTATTTCAGCCTTAGGAGTAGAAATCACATCATCCCCATCCCTGGCTTTTTACTGAGCAGCACTTTGTTCTTCCAATGCAGCCCAAAGTCTGGCCAAGACGATGTTAAATTTTAATAAGGGTTTCTTTCTTCTTTCCAAATGCCAGTCAAGCACATTTTTATACATTTGAGTGGAGTAGCTTGTTCTTTTCCAGAAATCTCATCTAGATTCCTTGCAATGTGACAAATACTGTTTTAAAAAAAATTGCTGTAGTTCAGTAATCAGCTCATTGCCCCTCTTTTTGGGAAGGTACAATCGTACCGAAAATTACACCAAATACAATAAGGAAAGACACAGTCTTTCTGCTCATGTTCTGCCTGGTCCTAAAGCTGTCTTATTTTTTTCAGAAATTCTATGTAATTAGAGCAGCCTATAAAGATCCAGATGTTAACTAATGAAAGAAAAAACACTCCACTTCAGACATGTCACCTATTGTCACACCTTATGTCACATGGACGGCAGTCGTGCAAATAGAGGGGAAGAAACAGGCATAAATGTTTTGAAATGGGAAACACTAAAACAGCTCTATACTTTAATTATAAGGGGAGATATTCAAAACATTTTTAAATTCAATGGTATAATTCGATGGGCATCAAAACCACACCATGTCTGTTCCCTGTCACTTGATAGAGGACAGTGCCACCTTTCTCATGCTGTGCTCCATTCGGGTCACTGTGAGATTGATAACTGACAGAAGTGTTTAGTTGGCTGTTCTTAAGCACTTAGTTCATTTGGTTACAGCTAAGTGATATTAATGCTAGAATTACACGGCCTAGTTTCTGACTCTGGAGTTTTAATCCCAATGTGCCCATTTGTTTTCACTAAACAGAAATGCACAGACACTTTGAACTAGGAAGGTTAAAAGAGCAGAAGACCACAATCACTACAAACAGCTAATTGTTCCATGGTAGACTTTTTAAATTTCATCTCATCATAATGTCGAGGTTTCTGGCTTGTTTTTTTTAAGTTCAAGGAAATTTGTAAAACTCTCACTGCACTCTTGGCTCCATCTCAACCTTAAAGTGGGAGGACTTTGCCACCCCCATCACTATGTCATCTGTCACTTTAACAGGAATTCAAAATAGTGAGGCAATGGACTTGTCTCTGGAACTAGAAGGGGTTAGAGATCAGGCTCATCCCAGCTTATAGGCAGGACTTCCCCAGAGATGATCCCCAAAAAAACCACCCTTCCCTTTTTAAGAAAAGCAGCTTCTAGCTGATCATGCAGAATCTCTTTTTTGTTTTTAAAGACTGTCTCAAAGATTAAACCTGTGTAATCACTTTCACTACCAGAAGAGTTGGTGGGTCCCAAGTGTCCTGATTAGACAGGCTGTCCTGTGGCTCCCAGGCTTGTGTAGTCGAGTGCAGTGAGCTGGGCAGACGGGACCATTGGGTCGTCCCTCCTGATTCAGCTACCGAGACATGCCCCTGGCTTTTGCATTGACCTCGCTTTGTTGATTTCTAGACTAATTACATCCTTTTGTCAGAACCTTTCCCCTTTTTTGGGATACTCACAGCAGAGTCCACCTTCAGCTATTGGAATAAATTTCACCATAAAGCCCCCCAGGCTGTCTACACTTGACGCCAATACAAATGACCAATTAAGTTGCAGAGGAGGAAGAAAACCCCGCAGACATTTGGCAACCTGCTTAATGCCAGACCCTCGGTTTTCATCAGCCGCTCTGAGTGTCATATGCAGGCGTGTAGATCCAAGGGAGACAGGGTTAAAAGGTAGTATCAAGAATTCCTCCCACCCCCACCAAAAATATCGTTCCCATGTTTGATTATTAAAATGCCCATAGTCCCTCTGCCCTTGGGTCTGTGTCTTAAGTGTCCTTGACTATTATAGAAGTGCTGTACGTTGAGTAGTGCCACGTGCCTAGCAGCGCTGACAGGGGGTTGCTGTGCCATCTGCCTGTGACCTTGATGTCAGGCACCTGGCCGTGGGGCTACCAGCAAGATGTGCAAAGGAAGACCCTCCCTCCATCCCCCGCATCTTTGTGCCTAGGCCACCAGTTTTCCAAGATTGTGAGTGCCAAGACAAGCCTAATTTGGTGGGGAAGCCAAGGAATAGAAGAACATTTCTTCTGACTTGGGGCAAGGCAGTAATTATTAGATACTGTCAGATAACAGAGTGGTTATTGACCTGCGGTCAAAGAAAGCAGGGACACACATTGTAGAATGCTAGGCCGCTGGAAAGGGAAGAGGCTTTGGGCTCCTCCAGTCCTGATTCTTAACTTTACAAATGAGAAAATGGAGAAAGAGGGAAGCTAAGTGATTTGCCCAAGAGCGCATAGGTAATTAGTGGAGAAATTATGCCTCCTTCCCTAATACTTCTTAGCCTTATCAGCATCAAATAAAGATGGGCTCACAGGAAAAGTGATTTTGGTCTGGGATCTTCAGGACACATAAAATAAGGTTGAAAGGCTGTAAAGGAGGAAAAAGGAGTCTCCCCTTCCCACAGCAGAATTATTTTTCAATGCAAAACAATATGGAAGATGCTTGCATCGGTGTGCAACAGTCCACGGGTAAGCACCTACATTCTCCCCTGAGATGAAAGAAAAACCCCCCTGGTAAATCATGATTTGGTAAATAACAATTCAGTACTGACGGTTCACAGTCGACAGCTGGAATCTTATCCAATAATCTATTTGTCTTAACAGAACTTTGTCTTAGTAATATGTATGCATAATTTAGACGTTGAAGGCTGAAAATGGTTGTGTACTTCTGCATAGGTATAATTTTCAACAGTGGTCCCTTGAGTTAAGAAATGTCTTCCATATAGTATAAGTAATTTCAACAGCAGACTCTAAATTATTATGTTTAGTTCGATGTGCTAAGAAGAAAGACAAATCTATAATGAATAACGTTGGTGCATCTTCGTGTGCAAAATGACAAACTGAGCGGTTTTCTGTATAATTCTGGACCCTTAAATCTGTTTTTTTTCCATAATTGTTCTAATGCACTAGGCAAAAGTTTCTGTTTAAGCCTCTACTTCTCCCTGAACATGCAGGACTGTCCTTTTGCGTACAGAGAGAGCCGGGGCTGCGTGCCTCTGTGCCCGGAGAGCCCAGATGGAGCACCACAGGCGCTGGGGATTGAGGGCACCTTCGCCAGCTGACTGGCCTGTCTGGTCTCTGTGGCCCAATTAATCAAGGCCGCAGATGAGTGGACACCAAGGACTAAAAATGACTAATTATGCGCCTCTCACACTCTGATTGCTTTGCCACATCGATAGAACATTCGAAATGGGAAACCTTTTAGAATGTCATTATTGTATGATGCAGTATTTCTGAACATTTATTTTTATTGTGATGACTTATTATTGAAGACGTGTGTATTTGAATAGATGTTTCTATCCTCCATGAAGCTCATTCTCTTGTTGTTCATGACAGTGGGGTCACAGCAAAGAGGCTGTTGCAGATTAGCTAACTCGGATTTAAGATTACAGCGGGGTTCTGGGGTTAGGACCCAGAATGTACGGCTGACCCTCCAGACAAAGCTGTGTGACATGAAGGAGCTCTTCAAAATACAACTCTTGCTCCTCACTCCAGACCTTTGACTCACTCATTGTCCGGGGATACGTCCAGTTTACAAAGATTCCCAGATGATTCTGATGTGGTCAGCATTTGGAACCCAGTAATACCTTGGAGCAGAGTCACGTATACGATTCTGAACAAGGCAGCTAAATGCTTATCCCTCCTCATGCAGTTAGTATCTGATGCTCCTTGAAGTTATCCTGATACGTGGCCACATAGGCACCGTCGTAGTGATGCAGCCGTTCAACTGTGTCGGCTGAATGGACCAGTCGCTGGTCTGTAAGTGAATAGTAACTGGTCGATTTAGCCAGAATGGATGCGAGCCTGGAGAGAAGTGAGGAGCTCAGCTTTAATGCGCTTTACCCCAAGGCCAGCTCTTTGTATTTCACTCTTTATATTTCAAACTAGGAGTGGGATCTAAGGTCACTCATCTTTATAAATGGATGGATTGAGAAATGGGGAAGTTAAATGATTCATTCAGATTCAATTTGGAAGTCATTTTCAGAGCCTAAAATACCTCTCAAGGGGTCTGATTTCTCAACCTCCAGGAAATGCCCAAAATGCAAAAGTCTTCAAGCTAAAATGAAATAAATCAAAAAAGGAAATTCGAGAGGTTGACATTCTAAGACCAACCCAGTATAAGAGAGGTGGTCTGTTATTACTGCCTGCCTTGTACAGGCCTCTGTTGAACAAGGTGCCACCATCCTTGTGAAGGTTGTTTCTATAACTGTACACGTGTAAAGCCTTTAATCGTCAGAGATACTGAAGGGCTCATTTGATTTCCCTCTTGTGTGATTCAGAGACAGTTTCAGCTCTTCGGTATGCTGCTAAATATTTCACAACTGGCTCTGGAAGACAGTGGGACCCTGATGTGTAGCAGCTACCAATTTCCATGGTGTAAATATTCTCATGCTGGCCAATTTCAAGCTGCTAACTTAATGTCAGCCAGCTGGAAATACAACAAGAGCCGGCATGAGTGGGCTCCTGTACAACAGGAGCTGGCTCCAGCATAGCACTGCCTGAATATTTTCTGAGTCAGTGAGTACCAGACAGGAGAGGCTAGCAGTAGCTTGGGAGGGACTCCTAAGTGCCCTCCTTGGTGAGTTTTACTAATTTTTAGTAAAAGAGCATATTATTGGCTTTTAGGTTAAAGCCCAAAGGTGTTGAAAATATTTCCTATCCATGTGACTCTTAGGAACCTTTTGACAGACTCCTCAATACCTTAGGTAATTACCAGCAATGGCTTTTCTAATTTCTAAGGGTGACTTTCCAGGTAAACATTCTTTTATTTAACTGCCAGTTAAAGCCATGTTTGGCTGATCTTTTTTGCATCCTATAGTTCATCACTTGTTTCCCTGGTTCTGTAGTTTTCCCTGTCCACTTGCTCCTCATCCTTCTGAGACTGCCAAAAATTCACAGGCATCCGTAAAACAGTGTCTTCAAAGGAGGAGGGGAGAATAAGACACCCAACCCACTTACCTGGCCCCACACATCGGGGGAGGCTCCATGGTTCAAAGGTCTTTACCCCACGGGGGACACCCAGCTATGCATCATGCCCAGCACGTGAGCGTGCACTCCGCTGGGGTTCATTTGCTGTCAGAAAGTTCCTCCTAATGGTCAAGAAACACCACTGACTAGGAACATCTCTGGGCAACGTTGCTAGCTGACTGAGCAAACTCTTTGGAGCAAGGCATCATGTGGTGCTTCTCCTTAACTAAGCGAGGGTAAGGCTAGACCCTGGGGAAAAAAACATCTACCAAGGAACATTTGGCTACTGCAGTCCTCTGGCATTGAGCAGTAGAGAAACCGTCTTTCCTCACACTGCTTGTGAGGGCCCTTCCCACTGGGTGTTTAGAAATACCCTGATCATCCATTGAACAAGCTTTGTTTGCAACTTGAAAGTTTTTCTGATGGAAGTTTTAGGTGGGTTTAATTAAATCCTTTGGAAGATAATGCTGGGAAAAAAAACATGTATTTAATTCCTGGGACACAATGAGCAGCCATAAGTTTTTATTCTGCATGTAATAAAACAAAATTAGATTGCAAAGCAGCAAATCTGCTTTCCCTACTATAATAAAATACCCTACAAGTTCTTTAAGGCTTTTCTAGACTGCAAATGTGTGAAACTCAAGTTGGACATTTTCTACACTGCGTTTAAAAGACCAGGTTATACCTGTTTTCTATTATTTTTAACAGTCATTGAAATTAGCTTGTTTCTCTATACTGAGCAAGCCACATTTTGTTTTTAGCGAGTCAGATGTACATTCATATGTTTTTCTGTAGTCCCAAACAAATTGCATGTTGTTAGTTAGCCTGGGCACAAAGTACACCTTCATCCTCTGGTTCTTTTCCTGACACCAAAGAGATAAATCCATTGCTACAAGCACAAGGAACTTGACAGGTAGGCCCCCATTTTATTGTGAACAAATTCACAGCAAAAACAGCCTTGAGGGACCAGCCACTCCTGTAACACTTTTGACTAGGGGAGGTGGGGAAGAAAACTTGGTAGACAGTGGGAGAGAGATTTGGTAAACATGTATGGGTGGAACAAAGACATTAAAGCCCTTGCAGAAAGGAAGGGGAGGCTTCCCTCTGAAATATGGAAACTAGACCGTTTGTCAAGACTGAGAATAACTGGACCTCATGTTAGAAATGCTCTTTACCCACCTTTCAAGATCCAGATCTGAGCCCGTAGTAGGCAGAAAAGCATCCTTACAGCCAACAGTCTGGGAGGGGGTTATTGACAGGCTTAGAGCCAGTCACCAAGCGTCAGTAATTAGCACTGATATTCTCGTAGGACACAGAACAAACATATTGGAACATCACTGTGCAATATCATTTACTCACATGGGACAGTCTCCTAAGTCCATAGCAGAACTCCACAGACCTGGATGTTATCTCAGGTCAAGAATCCAGATCAACATCTACCATGTGGAGATGAGACAGCTGAGGTTCAGAGTTGGCGTGGTTTATCCACCCAGCTAGCTAGCTGGAATTACAGCCTGGGCCTGCAATCCCACCCCACTCTCCCTCACGCGTTAGATAGGAAGCCAACAATCCATGAAAGTATTGTGAAAGTATGAGTGAGAAGTCAAGACAAAATAATGTTTGTGATATCTTCTCTCTCACTTAACCTACTTTGGTTCCACCATTTCACTTTAGCATCATTTTGAAGAATGGCATATCTGTGTAGAATGAGGAACAAAGAAAGCTCTTTACAGAGGAACCAAAAGATTGAAAGGTGGGAGAACAATGAATGTAAGTTACTAAAGAAATGAGCAAGTGTCAGGGGAAATACATGCTGCTTAGATTGTTACTACCGCAATGCCCACCCCCTACACACACACATTTGATGCATCTTTTTGGAAAATGCCATTTTCTGCTGAGAGACTAATTCTGAGGACTTCTCAATTTTTCCCTTTGGAAAGGTAATGCTGGAAAAAAACATGTATTTAATTCCTGGGACACGATGAGCAGCCATAAGCTTTTATGGCTACATAAGGAAGTTCTCTTGCTCTTTGGGAGAAGCCACAGCCCTTACAAAGCAGACTCGCCTGCCCTGGGAAACAGGCTGCCGGACTACAAGGGCTGCAGAGACCCGAGAGAAGCCAGCACTGCTAGACTGAGAAACCTGTAAATATCTCCTGCCTTCTGGGTGATCAGGGACAATCACCTTTCACAGAGGCAATAGCGTGTCTACTGTGACTGTGGTCTGTGAAGAAAATGCAACGGTTTGCTCCGACAGCCCCTAAATGCACCTGTTAAGTGTGAACGTGCTGCCTCGTTGCCTCACGTGCCAAACAGTACCGAATGCATTGTTTTTAAATACACTGTTCTCCCGTGCATTGGAAAACACTGCTGATTGTCTCTCTCCTATTCGGAACCCCGTCCCACCATGCACACTTTATCCATCGAAGAGATTGAGAGCATCCTCCTTTTAATCATTCTCAGTGTTTTGAGGTCCTCTCCTAGGAGAGTTGTAGGACTCCAGAAAGGCTGGGGTTGGCTGTCTATAGCCATGAACTAGTGGCAAACTCCCAAAGCGTCCCCATGCACAATTTTTCCATAGGTCCTTTAAATGCTCACTAATCGGGCACCAGCTCTTAATATTGTTAATATTGTTAATAATAATACAGAATAATACAGAATGCGTGAATGCCACAATTACACATACTGGGTGAGGGAGAGGTGCTGAGGGACTTCGGTCCATGCTGAGAGCACTCATGCTGAGAGTGACGAGCCAAAATGGAAGCTCGGCTGACCGTCCCCCCCTCGTCCCGAGTCCCTTCCCCTGCACCTTCCCTCCATCACAGTCTCTCTGGGTCACCTCCTCCTGGAGGCTTCCCTGATAGCCACTGTCAGCCTCTATCCTTTTCTCTGTGCTAATTTTCCTTACAGCATTTTCTCTCATGGCTTGAAACAATACTGTTTGTTTGGTCATTATTCACCTGTGTCCCCCGCTATATTACAAGCTGTACCTTCAACCCAGAAGGGGACTGCCTGTCTTATTCACACCATGCCCCCAGTGCCCAGAACAGCACCAGGAGCTTGGTAGGCTCTCAGCTGATGTTTGTAGGATGGACAGATGGACAGATGGGTAAATGGATGGACAGATGCACACAGAGTCTGTGTATCATTTCAACTCTTTCATTATCTCCCTCCCCGTCTTTGTACCTGCACTGCAGACACCGGAAGTCTTGGCCCTTTTCTGACTGTGCTGCCCCAGACAGCACCATGAACAAAACTCAACAAGCCATTTGCTGAATGAATGAATGAATGAACAGTCCTAGGAGTTATTTTTCTCAATGTTTGTGCTCCAACATTAAAAAATGTCCCTGCATATTAATGCATCAAAGTGCATCCTATTCTTGTTCCTGGCTGATTGCAATTTCCCAGCAAAAGGAGGAACGTGAGGAGGGTAAATTGCACAGCATTATTGAAAACCCCACCTTCAGCAGATATGGCTGCACCTGAGAGGGCAATGGCTCTTCAGTCCAAATCTAAAGTCCTTATTTTTCACTACGTATAACACTGGGCAAGATATGAACAGGATACAAAATTTGCAAAATCACAAGGTTTATCCTGAAGGAACTTAAAAATCTTATTGGGGGAATGATTCAATACATTACAAGGTAATATCTTTTATCCTGGGAAGCTCCAGGGGGGATTGGGAATGAAGGTGAGGGACAGGGAGAAAGAGAGCAGCAGAGGGAGAAAAGGGTGACACCCATTAAATTCCAGGGAAGACAATAAAAATCTTTTGAGGCCGAATGTAATGTTCAGGGCTCTGTTTCCTGAAAACTATTAGCCAGGCTGATGCCCCTCCCTCCCCCCTACACATACACACATATGCGTGCACACACACCCAGAAAGGGTAACTTGTTCTAAAACAAAACAAAACACTTCACAAACTTCAGCAAAACATGAAATTGACACCAAGTTTATTGCAGGCTCTCTGCCTGGGGCAGATTAGTACAAATTAAATTTTAAAAGTAGAATTTTTTTTTCTAAGAAATTCATTACCGCAGCTTGATCAAAACAAAGAGAATAAACAAAAAAAAAAAGGAAAGAAACCCCCCTCATAAAAGGGCCAGCCTGACCCAAGGCTGCCAAGCCAGGAAAGAAGTTTGGCCTCTGCTTCTGTCCAAGCAAGAGCGTGAGCTCCTTGTGCACCAGCATTTCCACAAGGCCCGAGGGTCTGCAAGTGGTTGGACCAGCCTCAGCCCCAAAGCTTTCTCCCCATTTTGAGCGTGCAATTCTTGGTAAGAGGGGTCAGCTCTCGGACTAGGCTGCCCTGAACACTAACTGCAGCATGTCATAGGTAATCAGGAACTTAGAGATTCAGCAAACCCAATGCTCTCATTTCCGGAAGAAGAAACAGAAGCTTGGGGAGAGAAAGTGACTTATCCAAAGGTACTCTCCTAGCGAGCAACAATTTAAATACTTGATCAATTTTAACAGAAAAAAAAACCCAGAAAGTTATTTTTAAATCAACTAAAAATTCTCAACTCTAAATAAAAGTATTTAAAATGAAAGTCTGCTCCTTTTACTTCAATTAACTTATTATTATAAAACTGTTCATCGAAAAAATAGAAAATAAAGATAAGCAAAAGAATATTAAAATTAAAAGACACCTAAACCTTTCACCTGTTTTTCTGAGTATGTGTTTGTTCTACATCAAATTACTATTGTGTTTTCTTTTTTCCCTCACTTAAAATCATATCAACAGCATCTTTCCACATCATTAAATATTCTATGATAAACATAATATAAAAGCACTATCACTGATTGTTGTTTCAAATTTACATTCCTAGCAATTTTTCATTGCTATAAACAGTGCTCTGATGAGCAGCTTCCTAATTAAATATTTGATTATTTCCTTGGATAAATCCCTTGAAGTGGATTTCCAAGAGGTATGAATAATTTTTGTAAGAGGGGTCTTTTTCAAAACTGGTCAGAAGTGTTCAAGTAGAAGCTCAATGACCAAATTTCTAAATCTTTCTTTCTTTAGAAAACTTACAAAAAGGTTAGGAGAAAAACATGCATCATCATTGAGGTTGACTTCCTCAAGAGAAGAATAATGCTTTTTTGTGTACTAAATAGGGTAAATAAATAAGCTATTGTTGTGTGCTACTTAGATTCAGTTACTGAATCTCTTGTGTAGGAGCTGGGAGAACTTCACACACTCAAGAGACAAAGCCCATCCAATTGCATTCTCATTACTAATCAAATAAGAAGCACCCAGGACCACCTGGGAGAGACGAACCTTCAATACAATGATAGATAGCTCTTTTCCTTATTCCGAGAGTATGTTTATTGCTTACTCAATCCTACTGACCTAATAATGCTTCCAATTCACATTAAGTCCAAGAAGTCAAAATGAGGAGGTTGAACGAAACACTCTACCTTGGGGCTACACAAACCCTATAGATCACTTGTTTTTGTTGGAGTTCTTTTAATCAATATTTCCACTTCTGTAGGAAACATGTAACTTTAAGCAAATGCAAAATATGAACATAGAGATTTTTCAAAGCAGATGTTATTAAGAGTGGCCAAAGCAATCACCGCAGAATCCCCTGTCTACCATTGTCCCTTTCT